CATCAGCAATAGTGTCCTGGGCCAGATTACTCATTGGTAAAGTTTATAACTAATTAATCATATTCTCATGCAATTGTTTTTATTTGAATTATTTTTGATCGCATATCAATTTAGGCGATAAACTCACAAAACTCTCGCCAATGTTTGTAAAGCGTATGGACTATGAGTTGGACAGACGTATTGTCGACACATTTATGAACAACAATTTCACAAATTGGATGGGTTTTGATGGTCAGAAAGTGAACAATTGGAACATTTGGATCAATACTAATATACTGATGACTAGTCTTCTCACTGTAAACGACACCAAAAGACTAGATGTCATCAAAAGGGCGGTCATGAGTGCAGATAATTGGTTGGACTGGTATGGAGAGGACGGTGGCGATGATGAGGGACCGGAATATTGGTATCAAGCGGCCGGACGTTTCATACAATTCTTGTATTACATGTCATCTGCGAGTGGACACCAAATGGACTGGTCGTCCAAACCTATAGTCAAGAGTATCGGTGATTACATCTATAAGATGCACATCAATGGAGACTATTTCGTTAACTTTGCCGACGCCGACGCCAAATATGTTCCCGAACCCACTCTAGTCTACCGTTTCGGACAACTCTTCAATAACACAGTTATGAAACAATTCGCGGCCTATTTGTATGATTTGGCCGGAAAGGAGAACATCTTATTAGGGGATTCTTATCGATCGGATCAAAGGTTCCATCAATTTTATTTGATAATGAATGCATACCAGTCCCTAAAGTCAGAAGTGCCTAAAGCTCCTCAACCTCTAGAGTCGTGGTTTCCTGACCTCCAAGTGATTACATTGCGATCAGAAGAGGGTTCAGCTAAAGGATTATTCTTAGGAGCGAAGGCTGGAATTAATAGTAAGTATTGAATAAATAATTATTATTAATTAGTTTGTAATTTAGTAATTGTTAATTATTTTGATAGATGGAAGTCATAGCCATAACGACATCGGAAACTTTGTCCTCTATGTTAATGGATTACCCGCTCTAATAGACGTAGGAGTGGGTAATTATGATAAGGACACCTTTGGTCCCCATCGCTATGACATATGGACGATGCAATCCAAATGGCATAACACCCCTACTATTAATGGCGTACAACAAAAGGCTGGCGACCAATATATGGCCAGAAATGTGACCTATAATAAGACAAGTGCCGAGTTTGAGGCCGATATAGCCGGCGCTTACCCTAAAGAAGCCCAGGTTAAGAGTTGGGTCAGAAAATTAACTTTTAATAGGGAAGCAAATAGTGTTACATTGAGTGAGAATTATAGTCTGGATAAGTTTGTGGAGCCCTTTAAAGTACATTTCATGACTATATTAAACAAATCAAGTGATGACCAGAAGAATGGAGATCTGGTTCTCGAGGATAAGAGCGTGAAGTTAACGATGAGTTTTGACAACAATTTGTTTGATTATGTGATCG